GAATGGTTCCTAATAAAGAGAAAAAAAGCAAATAAACTGCAACATTCTCGTGTGTGCTATAATAGAATAATGTTAGATTTTTCTTAGGCTTTGCCAACATTTAATTCAATTATTCATATAGAGATACAGGCAATGTAAAAACCAAACAGTGGGATACCTTAGATTCAGAATTCCAGGACCTTAGATATACGGCTAATGTCTCAATATTCACATGTTCTACATTTTCTTTTCAAACTCACATTGGAATGGAGATATGGAGAACCATTTTGAAGGGAATATAACAATACATTAAAAAGTTGCCATACCAGTCGATTTAATAAAAAACATTGAACAATATATTGTCCAACTTTGAAGCACTTAATGAGGTGAATTTGCAGGGCATCCTTGATACATAGTGACAAAAAGCTAAATAATTATAGTGTTTATATGCTGTAGTAGGATCTTCATCAACAGGTCTCATCACCAATATCTGTGTTAGAATGTAGACTTTATTGTCCGGATGATTATATGGTTTGGCATTTACTTGATTTCCAGTTATAGCCTTTTAAAACTGACTCTCAAATTAAGTAAATTAGCTCTCAGATATTTTAGATTATCGTTACCCTTCCCCCTCAACTAAATTAGTGTTGGGACATGGTCCACTGTTTGGATGTAGCCACAACATCTACATTCTGGGGCTTTCATAAATAACAACTGAAATTATACTTTAGCTTTGTAAATATAAAGCTATCCATAATCAACATGTAAAGTCTGTTTATTTATTTATTTTTGGAACTCTTGTTTTTGAAAGGTGGAGGCAACAAAACAGAACGTGGATCTCCAAGCAATCATCAATTTGAGCTTCATAAATTGCTGCAACCATCTTCACTGCTGGACCTAGCGATTGAAGGTATAGTTTATTAATTATGTGTCTCTCTATTACACCTTTCATTGAGGGTAGGGATGTAGTAAATGTAGTAATTATATGTCCATAACATATTAGAAATCACAGTTTACTTTGGGTATTTCCTGGTATGTAGACAACCTCCTATATTCTTACCAAATAAGTGTATCTTTAGGAAGATCGGTTGGTTTAGTACCAAATTTCCCTCTATTGTTTCCTGCTGTCATATCCTTTTTTTTCTATCAACTAAGCATATTCTCAGTTATTCATTGGGAAAGAGAGAGAGAGAGACATATATGTAGGAAAATAAATTGCACAAATAATCAATTTTATATGCAAGGCTGAAATTACTGCAATCACTAATATGATTAATCTTCCGTAAATCGTACTCCAAAGTACTATAGGGTGAGTTGACACTATGTTGTTCATTTCAATTGAAATCTCCCCTGGGAGTTCCTGCACTGGAACTTGAACTATGGCTGAGTTCCTGTGTGCTCTGTGGCTTGGGTGAACACTGTATACAGCCTAATTTACAAAACTAGAACTGTTTTTGTCAAATAACTGCAGTATTGCTGTTATTCGTTTTGTTAGGGGTTCTTTGCTAACTGCTTGTCTTGACTTATCTGCTGCGGGAATAAACACATACCTTATAGGGAAGTATCTTTTTTTAAAATGTTTGCATTTGTTTGTCATATATAAAATAAAAAAGGATCACTTCTAGTCAGTACTATCTATTTAAAATGCTTTTTTAAAATAGATTTTACTATCTCTGAATAGAGCTGTAATGTGACCAGAAAGCACACCTGCAAATCATGTAGACCTGCATAGCATCCTGGGAGTTGTAGTTTTACAACAGCTGCAGATTTATATTTTGGCCATTCTTGATTTATACTTTTAGAGAAGCTGCCTTTAACTTTGCTGATTCTTTAAAATTCCTGACATTCTTTTTCCTGCCTTGGTGAAGTCTTACTTTCCATCATAAAAAGTCTGATAGCCGCACAGCCCCACAATTGTTCTACAGAACCGAGATATCGGGAGGCTGTCTTGTTTGCATATCAAGAGAAGCCTGATACATCAACCAGTTGGAGATGCTTAGCAGCTTGAGCCATCCATATCTGTTAAGATGCATCTGCACAACAAGTTAGTGAGTGAATTCCGTACATATATTATCCGAGTCTCTCACCAGAAGAACAGACAAAGGACGGAAGATAGTAAGCAACATAATTGATGATTTAATCTCATGTGGCATGATAAATGAACTGTAATAAGATAAGAAATAAATCATTCAAATACAAATCTATAAGAGACTTTAAGGAAATTCAAGACACCAGGAATAACCAAAGGCAAAACCGTACTGTGCAGAACTAGTTTAACATAGCGCCATTGCCGGGAACAGATCTTTTTGACATCTTTAGCCCGAGTGAATTTAAAAAGCAGTTCGTTGTGTTTGTCTATGTATTTGAATACACACATTATTTTGTCTCTTTTCTTTATATTGTGATTCCGCGAAGAAAGGGATGCTGTTTCTGCAGAGGCCGCTGTGAAATTTGCAAAGCTGGCATTTAGCTACGAACATTGGGATGTGTTTGATGCCATTATACCTCAAATATATACATTCCTACAGGTAAATAAAGGAAGGAGACATTACTTATGCTGTTTATTGCACTGTTGTCTCGCATTGCACACGCATTCAAATTTACATTCTAACCTAGCCTGTGTCAAATGCCTTGTATGAAGTGGTTCATGCCCTGTAATCATGTAACTTGTACAGGGTTATTCACCAAAGTAAGAATTGAAAGTGAATTTCAATTTTAAGGCCAGAGTAACTGAACTGAAAGTATAACAGAGAATTTTTCCAGTTTGGCTTTTTTAACCTTAAATTTGAATTCACTTTAATTCTCACCTTAATGAATAAGCCTGACAATATTCAAAACTACAGATTATTATGATATTAATACTGGTAATAAATAAAAATGTTAAGATCCTTTAACCTTTCCTGGTAAGTTTTATCCTGCAATCCATGAACCAGTTTAGTTGCCCTTCTCTGAACTCTCTCTAAAATATCAATATCATTCTGAAGATACGGTCTCCAGTACTGCGTACAATACTCCCAAGTGAGGTCTCACCAGTGTTTTGTGCAGTGGCATGAACACTTCCCTCTTTCTACTGTTAATACCTTTCCCTATACGACCAAACATTCTGCTAGCATTTCCTGCTGCTCTATTACATTGTCTGCCTACCTTTAAGTCATCAGAAATAATCACCCCTAAATCCCTTTCCTTAGATGTTAAGGTTAGGACTTCATCAAATATTATATACTCTGTTTTTGTGTCCAAAATACATTATCTTGCACTTATCCAAGTTAAATGTCAGCTGTCATAACTCTGACTATTTTTCTAGTTTACCTAAATCATTTGCCATTTTGCTTATCCCTCCTGGAACATCAATCCCGTTACATATCTTAGTATCATCAGCAAAAAGACATACCTGACCATCAAGACCTTCTGCATTATCACTAATAAAAATAATAAAGAAAATGGGTCCAAGTACAGATCCCTGAGGTACCCCACTTGTAACAAGACCGTGCTTCAAATATACTCCATTGACTACAACCCTCTGTTGTCACTCAGCCACTGCCCTACCCATTCAACAATATTGATTTCCAAACTTAAAGATTGCAGTTTATTGATAAGCCTTCTATGTGGAACACTGTCAAAAGCCTTACTGAAATCTAGGTAAGCAATGTCTACTGCACCACCCTGATCTATTATTTTAGTTACCCAATAAAAAAAAAAAAAATCAATAAGATTAGTTTGGCATGATCTCCCTGAAGTAAACCCATGTTGTCTCTGATCTTGAAATCCATGTGATTTTAGATGTTCAACAATCCGATCCTTTAACATGATTTCCATTACTTTCCCCACTACTGAAGAAAGGCTTACTGGCCTATAGTTGCCAGACTCCTCCCTACTACTTTTCTTGTGAATCGGCACAGCATTTGCTAATTTTCAATCTTCTTGGACTACTCCCGTTAATAATTATTGTTTAAATAAATCTGTTAATGGTTTTTCTAGTACACCACTAAGCTCTTTTAATAACTTTGGGTGTATTCCATCAGGTCCCATTGACTTATTTGTCTTTACTTTTGACAGTTGAAATAGAACCTCCTCCTCTGTAACCTCAGATGTAATAAATTACTCATTTGTCCTTTTCCTAACTGAGGTCTCTTTCCTTCATTTTAATCTGTAAATACTGAACAAAAATATTAATTGAGGCAGTCAGCTAGACCTTTATCCTCTTCTACATACCTTCCTTCTTTTTTTTTTTTACATTCTTTATTTTCACATTGCATAGTGAAAGGTAAAGCTTTATAAAGACATTTCAGTAAATACAAGCTAATAAACAGTACATGATGCATTCTGCACTCATTTTGTAGTATAAGAGATAATAATAATAATAATAAAAAAAATTAATCCACAGCAGCTTAAAGATCAACTGATGAGGCTCACACACTTTAGGGGAAGTCATACTTAAAGTAGAGTAGAGGCCCTGCATAGTTGGACTGAACTAATAAGGTTAAGCAATCATAAAAGAATATAAGCCCAAAAAAAACAGTGTGGGTAAGAAAGCAAAACTGACTTTGGACCAAGTTGCCTGCCCCTGCAAGATAACACATAGGAGAAGGGTAAGTCCCCAGAACAGACAATGGTGATCAGTCTATACCCACTCTGGAGGCATGATACATGGCTATAAGGGAACAGCCACAAGGGAACTGCAGTTGTGGCATCGACCCAGTTTGCTTTATCAGCTCCTGGTGTTGCACACAGTAGCGCAGCGGTTCTGCCAGATGGGAGCAACTACTGTCCCTCAGGATCAATAGCCTTCTGAAGATACGGTCTCCAGTACTACAATACTCCAAGTGAGGTCTCACCAGTGTTCTGTACAATGGCATGAGCACTTCCCTCTTTCTACTGCTAATACCTCTCCCTATACAACCAAGCATTCTGCTAGCATTTCCTGCTGCTCTATTACATTGGCGTCCTATCTATTCGAGGTGATGAGACACTGGGAACTATCCTGCCCGATGAGGCTACAAAGTCCGACAATCAAGTACCCGATGGAGAATCGGCGGTCATCTATGGCATCGCATATCCGCATGTGTCCCTCAGGATACATGCGGATATGCGATGCCATAGATGACCGCCGATTCTCCATCGGGTACTTGATTGTCGGACTTTGTAGCCTCATCGGGCAGGATAGTTCCCAGTGTCTCATCACCTCGAATAGATAGGACGCCTCCTCACTATAAGAGGCCGAGTCGCCATTTTGAGGTGAGTAAGGTTTGAAGGTCTGAAGTAGTTTAAGCCAAAACATAGTTGGTCAAATCAGGCTAAGAATCCGTCTAGGGAGTGGGCCAGTATGGCTTTGCCTCCACGAGTCATCACGTTGCCGGCAGCCTCCATTTTGATTCTTGAGATGAGCAATATTCCCCTATAACCCAGCACAGTGTCCCTTTATTGTTGAGTCAGTCAGGGTGCAGGGCTGTAGAGGACTGGGTAAAAAAGGGGGATAAAACATTTTTTAGATACATAAATGAGAAAAGAAAAGTAAAACAAGGATTAGTTAGATTAAAAACAAAAGAAGGAAGGTATGTAGAAGAGGATAAAGGTCAGGCTGACTGCCTCAATGAATATTTTTGTTCTGTATTTACAGAAGAAAATGAAGGAAAGGGACCTCAGTTGAGAAAAAGGATAAATTAGTCATTTATTACACGTGAGTTTACAGAGGAAGAGGTTCTATTTCAACTGTCAAAAGTAAAGACAAATAAGTCAATGGGACCTGATGGAATACACCCAAAGCTATTAAAAGAGCTTAGTGGTGTACTAGCAAAACCATTAACAGATTTATTTAACCAATCATTGTTAACAGGAGTAGTCCCAGAAGATTGGAAGTTAGCGAATGTTGTGCCCATTTACAAGAAAGGTAATAGGGAGGAGTCGGGCAACTATAGGCCAGTAAGCCTTACTTCAGTAGTGGGGAAAGTGATGGAAACCATGTTAAAGGATAGGATTGATGAACATCTAAAAACACATGGATTTCAAGATCAGAGACAACATGGGTTTACTTCAGGGAGATCATGCCAAACTAATCTTATTGATTTTTTTGATTGGGTAACTAAAATTATAGATCAGGGTGGTGCAGTAGACATTGCTTACCTAGATTTCAGTAAGGCTTTTGACACTGTTGCACATAGAAGGCTTATCAATAAACTGCAATCTTTAAGTTTGGAAATCAATATTGTTGAATGGGTAGGGCAGTGGCTGAGTGACAACAGAGGGTTGTAGTCAATGGAGTATATTTGAAGCACGGTCTTGTTACAAGTGGGGTACCTCAGGGATCTGTACTTGGACCCATTTTCTTTATTATTTTTATTAGTGATAATGCAGAAGGTCTTGATGGTCAGGTATGTCTTTTTGCTGATGATACTAAGATATGTAACGGGATTGATGTTCCAGGAGGGATAAGCAAAATGGCAAATGATTTAGGTAAACTAGAAAAATGGTCAGAATTGTGGCAACTGACATTTAATGTGGATAAGTGCAAGATAATGCATCTTGGATGTAAAAACCCAAGGGCAGAGTACAGAATATTTGATAGAGTTCCAACCTCAACATATGAGGAAAGGGATTTAGGGGTGATTATTTCTGATGACTTAAAGGTAGGCAGACAATGTAATAGAGCAGCAGGAAATGCTAGCAGAATGCTTGGTTGTATAGGGAGAGGTATTAGCAGTAGAAAGAGGGAAGTGCTCATGCCATTGTACAGAACACTGGTGAGACCTCACTTGGAGTATTGTAGTACTGGAGACCGTATCTTCAGAAGGATATTGATACCTTAGAGATGGTTCAGAGAAGGGCTACTAAACTGGTTCATGGATTGCGGGATAAAACTTACCAGGAAAGGTTAAAGGATCTTAACATGTATAGCTTGGAGGAAAGACGAGACAGGGGGGATATGATAGAAACATTTAAATATATAAAGGGAATCAACACAGTAAAGGAGGAGACTATATTTAAAAGAAGAAAAACTACCACAACAAGAGGACATAGTCTTAAATTAGAGGGACAAAGGCTTAAAAATAATATCAGGAAGTATTACTTTACTGAGAGGGTAGTGGATGCATGGAATAGCCTTCCAGCTGAAGTGGTAGAGGTTAACACAGTAAAGGAGTTTAAGCATGCGTGGGATAGGCATAAGGCTATCCTAACTATAAGATAAGGCTAGGGACTAATGAAAGTATTTAGAAAATTGGGCAGACTAGATGGGCCGAATGGTTCTTATCTGCCGTCACATTCTATGTTTCTATGTTTCTATATAAGTAAAAAGATCTGGAGCCCAGCTTAAATGCGTCCAGCTTTCTCTGCTGCTTTGCCCCGCCCCCCTTCTTTCTTTTTTAATCTAACTAATCCTTGTTTTACTTTCCTTTTCTCATTTATGTATCTAAAAAATGTTTTGTCCCTTTTTTTTTTACTGACTGTGCTATTTTCTCTTCTGTGTATGATTTGGAAGCTCTTATAACTATCTTAGCCTCTTTCTGCCTAATCTTATAGATCATTCTGTCTTCCTCACTCTGTTTTTTTTTTTATAATTACCAAATGCTAACTGTTTGTTTTGGCCACTTCTGTGGAGTACCACAGTGGTTTCTTTAATTTTCTGCTTTTACTGACAAGCCTTTACTGTGTTGTTTTAATTTATGTATTTAAATGTTTCTATCATATCCCCACATCTCCAAGCTATACATGTTAAGATCCTTGAACCTTTCCTGATTTGGACATAGATGTGGAACAATATGTCACCCGTGCAACATTTAAATTTTCCATCATCAATGCATTCCCATGTTTTTTTGCAACAATCATCATGCTAAAACCAAGATTTTTGAATGGCGCTCAAGTAGATGCTTGTTTATTGCTCTGCCCCTGCAGTGTCCTCTTTAAGTTGTGTTCTGTAGCTTCTGTAAATAATCACCTGTTTGACAAGAGAAAACTGTCCTGTTAAAGTATCAGTAAAATATTTTTATTTTATGGTTTAGGCACAAGATGCATCAAAATGGAAAAAAGAAGGAATTGATCTAAAGCTACTTATTGCAGCAGAACCATTATTATCTGGGAAAAAGCATAAACATGGCATCCGTATTTGTGAAAAAGATCTGGAAATCGCAGAAATAGCTGGCTCACTGGGTATTTTTGGACTTCAAGGTATATATCAATAGTACACATACAATTTTATTTTATTTATTTTCAAATTTGATAAACCATGACTACTCTTCCCGCAGCTTTTATTCAAAGCCACCAGTGCTAGGGACCCGGCATGGTAGGGTAACTCTTTCTTATTCAATGTTTGGCTGCTACTTAATTCTCAACTTCATCCTCATGCATAGTTACCTAGATGTCGAGCCCCTACTTTGCTTCTTCCTCTGCTACCTCTACCACCTCTACCCTTCTCCCAGCAGCGCAGTCCGGCTATATAGCACTGACAGATGTTTTGTGCAGTTTGGCGAAAATATTTAGAAAATATTTAGTTACAGGGAGGATACACATATAAATTATTATTATTTTTTTTTTTTTTACAATGCTCCTAAAATGGAAAAATATAAAAAAATCATACACTTTTAAAATTTGGACTTGTCATCCAAAAAGACATGTGGACATCAAGGTCACCTTCTGGTTGATGTACATTAAATCGATACAACTCCTTACACACAGTTTTTATATTAAGGAAAGGCCTGAAAATGAATTTTTTCCATTCGAGATTGCGATAGAGCGGGATGGCTGGTACCCAGCTTCTCTGCCGCAGAACAATATAAATGGATTATTAAAGGGTTACTCCAAGCATCATAATCACTAAGCACACTGTATTAGTTTTTCTGTTAGGAATACTCTGTTGCCATTCTCTTGGGCAATGGGGCAAACCATTTTGCAACTCTTACCTTACCGCCAGGTGCTGGGTCTCCTGCGTGGCGATGTAAATCTGTCTTTTGGAGAGGTACAAAAGCAGTATGCCAACCCCGCATACGCATTCACACTCTTTGTCAATGAATGACCTTCTGTGCAAATAAAATGCATCCTGGAACTCGCATTCCGGGCTGGCAGATGGCACTTCCAGAGATTTTATATAATATATCGCTTTATGCGCAGAAAATACATTAGATATAAGGAACAAAAAGCATGTATTATGTTTAAGATACGATTATAGATAGTAAGTAAGGGAAACGAAAATTTGTCAGAATAATCAAATTATAAACCCGTTAAAAAGCTCTGAGCTAATATGTGCAAAGAACGGTGCATGACTTCAAACATACACAATTAAGTCTGCAATCTATGAATAACCTTACCTGTCAAGCTAGAACCAAGCATTATTATATTTGTGTCTTTTCGTTCTGTTACCACGCATCTTTAAAAATGACTAAAGATAAAAAAACAAACAAAAAAAAAACCTCAGGGAGCAAATTATATTTTGTACTACCAAAAGGCTATAAAAGAGTGAGAGCATACGCTTATTTAAAAAAAATAAAATAAAAATATATATACATTTTAATTAGATGTGTTCCTTAACCTGTTTGGATAACCAGCTTGCCTTGGGTTTATTGGATACCGCTATGCGCCTCCACCACCAGAGTCGAAGAGCCAGAAATTTCCAAGCAGCTGAACACTCTCAGCTAATGATGTTAGGAACTTCTGATCTCTGGTATTAGTGGTACAGTGCTATACTGCAGACCCTAGATAAGAAGTCAAACCATTCAAAAATGGGTTGACTACTTATTATGGAGAGGGAAAGGGCACAATACAAACTACCACGGGCATTCGTGCTTATGATGCTTGGAGTGTTCCTTTAAATCAGTTTTTAAAAAGCTGTAAAACTTACCTTGATTCCTTACTGCAGCCTGATTCTTCTCAGATTAAGTTATTATCACAAAGAGCATCAAAGTATGAAGATGCTGGATGGGTCTTATAAAATTCTTTGGAATGGCAAAGTAAAATATTTCACTTTGATAGCCATGATGCAATTGATCTGTAGTTATTTACATCAGAAACTTTGTATATCCATGTTCTCTAAAAAGTATAGAGTTGTTTATTAAAAGTACGGAATGTGTCAACTGGGAAGGGTTAGTTATTAGCGAGTGATGGACCTCCATCAGGTTAGGGACTTTTTA